CCCCTCTCTCCCTCTCTCCCCCCTCTCCCTCTCTCCCTCTCTCCCTCTCTCTCTCTCTCTCTCCCTCTCTAATGAGTTTGTTTGTTAGTTGGTTTTTAAAGAACATTTTTAGTCCCTCTCTTAAACAGACTTGCTCCATCAGGCCTCTCTGTCCCTTGCTTTCTGCAACCTGAATCTATTCCTTTGTGTTGATTGGGCCTCTAGTTGCTACAGAAAAAAATCAAGTCCGCACAGTTTGCTCCTGGAGTCAGGGGTTGGGAAGACCCATTTTCTCCATCAACTCAGCAGAAAGCAAAGTCAAGCCACAGGAATATGCTGGAAGCCTCCACACACAGTTCTGGTTTGTTGCTTTGGGGAGCTCCTGCTTCTGGTGTTAAGTAATGGGAGCTGAGAAAGATCATCTCTCAGATGTTGAACCAAAGAGCTCTGCAACCTTTTCTAAGTCAGTTAACTTTGACTTGGCTCTGCTGTGCTAATCATGCAGTAGAGTTAAAGCTGAGATCCTGAGTTCTTATCCTTTGTACTCGGATGTCCCCTCTGAGGGGATTTCATAAATCTAGCAAACCACGGGGATGTCCTGTCTCAGGGGACATGAAGAGGTTGCTAGTGATTATTATACAGGACAAACTTATGCCAAGGCAGATTTTTCAAAAATATATGTTTCCTTGAAGTTTTCCATTCAAATTGTACAAAAAAGCAAATAAAGAAATGGAATATATACTGAGATATAAGTTTTAAAAATATTAACTGGCGTTACATAGGTAGCTGAGCTTGTTTCTGGAAATGGTTTAAGTTATATCTTTTTCAGTGAAAGAATAAGCTACTGTAAAAATGGGGTTTTTATATTCTACATTTCACCAACTTTTAATGGTATGAGAGATCTGTCAACCACTGGGTCCTTCTTGAATCAGAAATTAAAATGTAACTTCTCAAAAAAAGAATGTGTGAAGTGCTTTCACAATAGTGCTGACACCTATTTGTAACAGAAGGTAGCAATAAAGAGCATTTGTATAAGACAGCTGTGGGTTTACCCTTTGTATCATATGGCATAACTTGAAAAGATAGTTACTGTAGCCTTAAAAGAAAGAGACTTTCAAAATTGAAGGCAGGTGGTTACCACACATCAGAAAAATATAAGATGTAAAATTTTGGGTTTTTTTGTTATAAATAAGTTCCTCGATGTCCAAAATTCCATTATAAGCCAAATATCATGACAATAAGATAATTAGTTCCAACACTACTATTAAATATGAAGTGGTTCATTTTTTACTATTTTGTAAAAAAGTGCAGATGATCTGTGAGATGGATCCAAGTGCAAAGGGCTAAAAAATACTGTTTTAAGACCTAGTTTATAGCATTTGTTCACATGCTTTTTTTTTTTTTTAACCTGCAGTTAAATGTATGAAAGAAGTGTGGTTGTGTTAGGTGACTCTAGAGCAGTTGAGCAGGATCCAGCCCTCAGGACAGATCCCTTGAGAAGTAGTGCTGTGTCTCTGGCCCTCCCCCTAGGGGAGGGAGACTGAAAATACTCCATCTTCAATGACTTTTTTTTGTGGGCCAGGTTGGTTCTTTTCCCTCCGGAATTTCTGAGGAATGCAGTAGATAATGCTGAAAATGCATTGAATTTTTTTTTGTTTGTTTTTTGAGTCCTAAAAATAGAAACTTGTTTAAACTTGTTCATGCTATGTTTATCTTTCCCATAGAGAGGGGTTCCTTCAGACATCCCAAATGATTCTGCCTCTGGGTTTTTACAGGCACTTTGGGAAGAATGAATGTTCCCTAACCCTCATGCCAGCTGCACACAGAAGATAGGAATATGCCCCAAGGTTCCTGATATTTTTCCTGTTTCATTTTCATCAGACTGATAACATTTTGCTGAGGGCACAATGTCTGAGGAATGTGGCTATCATTTGCAGCATAGTAATTGGTTCCCAGCCTGGCATCCATGGGGAGAAGATGTCCCTGAGCTCTCCTCAGTGTTTCCAGATGCAATGGAAGAGGACATCGCTCTACACGAAGGCGGCCCCAGCTTTTTGCTCAAACACAGAAGTTCTGGTAGCTCTGAATGCTGCATTTGTGGGAAAATGAGCCAGTAGTAGCTACTTTCTTTTAGGACTTGGGCTCTGGAGAGTGACGGTGAGAAGTTAAGATGTGGCTTGTTGGATTAAGTAATCCCTGGATTTCTTTCCATCCGTCTGGTTCATCGCAACCAGACTGAACATGCAAAAGGCTTAGCTCTAAGCAAATCTGTACATGTTTGCATGAACTTGGTGGCATCATGTACACAAAAGTACATTTGGGTAGAAATGCATGTGCTGAGTCTCCTTTTAGTCATACCATTTTGTCTTTGTCATGCTGTACTTTTTTTTTTTTTTTTTTCCTTTTTCTTTCAGAGATAGAGTCTCACTTTGTTGCCCAGGCTGGAGTGCAGTAGTGCAATCATAGCTCACTGCAGCCTTGAACTCCTAGCCTCAAACAGTCCTCCCATCTCAGCCTCCTGAGTAGCTAGGACTACAGACATGCACCACCATGCACAGCTAGTTTTTTATTTTATTTTTTTGTTTTTAGATTCAGGATCTCACTATATTGCCTAGGCTGGTCTCAAACTTCTGGTCTGAAGCCATCCTCCTGCCTCAGCCTCCCAAAGTACTGGGATTACAGGCATGAGCCTCTATGCCTGGCCCTGTACTTCTGTCTTAAAAGAGCCCAAAGTATTATCAGCTTTTGCTCCTCTGAGTAGGTCATTAGGCAGCTAAAGTTTACCAACCTGATGCAGAAAACTTTTAGATGAGTTAAATTAACAAACATTTATTAAGCACCTTTGTGAGGATGGCATCACACAGAACTACTCTCCGAAAGGCGAGGCTGAGCTCTACCAGCCAGGCTGACAGGTTTTAAGTTTCTCTCAAAACTTGCACCCGTATCAGCTTGGTGAGCCAGCCAGTAGAGGCAAAGGGTTCCACCTAGAAGGAGCACTTAAATATCAAATTTGAAAAGGGAAAGATTTTGCTAGACTTTCTCTCCAGGATCTATCTTCTTGAGGTTCCCAGGCCGTTAACATCAGCATCACTTGGGAACTTGTTAGAAATGCACATTCCCAGGCCCTATCAATCTACTGAACCAGAAGCAGAGTGGGGCCCAGCAGTCGTATTTTAACAGCCCTTCAGGTCATTCTGGCAAACACTCAAGTTTGAGAATTCACTTGGCCTTTGCAGGGGTCACCCTTCAGGTGGTTCCTGGTGCCTGCTAGTGACACGGGTCCTGTGTGCTGCTGGGCTCAGTCAGGTGAGCCGACTGTCCTGTGGCTGATGAGGAGCCACTGAGCCCTTCTTCCCTCATTCCCTGCCGCCTCCCCAACAAATGATTGCTGAGAAAACAATGAGAATCTTTGAAGCGGAACCAAGTCCACCACTCCTGTGCATCTCATGGCTGGTGAGTTGCCTACAGCCAAAGGCGTTTTAGCAGCTCAAACACATATGCTTGCATCCTGGCCATTGCTTCCTTATCTGTGGGCCTCAACACTCAGGCGGCTTTTTCTTATATCTCTTAAATATATATCTGGCCTGAGAATCACCTCATAGAAGATAAAGAAACAGAACTACGCCACTGACCAGCCTACTCTCAAACCAAAACCTTCTCCCCACCCTCTCCCTGAAGAAAAGAATCCTTGCTGAGGAGAAGCATGATTGCTGGAGACAGGCAGGGAGTGGCCCCAGGGGGCACTCTCCATCCTGGTACATGGGAGGAGTTAATGCAGCTGAGTCAAGGAATAGTGACAAACTCTGCAGAGGATGCTGGCCAAAAACCTTCTGGGGGAAAGTGCATACTCTAACTCGAACATAAAGGCCCTGAATTTCTGAGGTGATAGTCTGGTGACCAAGCAATTGTTTGGGCCCTGGCCTCAGTCTTAGGTTCAAATCTCTCCTTGGCTGCTTACAACCTCACCTTACTACCAAGGTATGACCTGGGGCAATAACTACCTTAAGCTTCAGTTTTCTCATCTGTAAAATGGGGATGGTAATCTAAGTCACAAGGTTGATGTGAGGATTAGATGAGGGTAATGACTATTTTGGTATAGTGTCTGGCTGTGGTATGACTTTAGTAAGTGTTAACTGTGTTAAAGCTGTGCTTTTCAAACCGTGGGTCAAATTGCTCATGGCTTGCAACCTGCATTTTCTAAAAGAAATTTTTTAAACACATTGCAAATTGTAGGATAAGTACTGTTTTATGAAACTTTGGGAGGGGAAAATATTTCCTCTTGTGGATTACAGTACGAAATCCCTGGTGAGGAGAGACAGTTATGTGGCCAGCTCTGACCAGGCACACTTGCATGGGCTGCCACCCAAGGCTCTGGCCACATCTGATGACACAGGGTGCAGGGAGACAGCCTGCTCTCGCTCTGTGGGTTTCAGCTGGATCTGCAGAGCACATGCTTGGATCTCTGCCTCCCGGACAAGCCTAAGTCCTAATACATTCATTTTGGGATATTGGTGAGTTTGTTTACAGATCATAGCTCATGTGTTACCCAGGCAGACTTGGGCCAAAAGGGCCCAAGTCTCACACACACTGCAAGAGGTGCTGGCATAGGCCATCACCACCTTACTGTAATCATCCATTTATGTTCTCTTGAGACTGGTGTGGATATTGCTGCCCTGCAGACCTCACGCTTAAGAACTGTTCCTTCAGAACACTTAAATCCACACAAAACTCAAAATTGAGTCCTCCCAGGAAAAAGCAAGCCCTGGGCCCTTTTTATATATCGGATTTTGGGGGGATATTTTCTGTCTTCCAGACTCGCAGTCGACACTTCTTGAGCTTTTGTCCCCTTGA